GAACACTATGAAACATTTCCATGAGTTCCAAGTTTTTGAAAAGAGTATGAATGCCACTTATGTGGCACTTATCCCAAAGAAGAGTGGAGCTACATCACTAAGGGACTTCAGACCAATAAGTCTAATTAGTGGGATGTACAAAATCATAGCTAACGTGTTGGCTGAAAGGCTCAAACACGTGGTAAACAAGCTGGTGAACAAGCACCAGATGGCATTTATTAAGGGCAGGCAAATCATGGATGCTGCATTAATAGCCAGTGAATGTGTGGACACAAGAGTAAGAGGAGAGAAAGCAGGCATCCTGTGCAAACTTGATTTGGAAAAAGCATATGACCATGTAAATTGGGGGTTCCTTCTAAACATCTTAAGACAGATGGGGTTTGGAGATAAATGGTTAAAATGGATAGGTTTTTGTATTAAAACCGTAACCTCCATTCTGGTGAATGGAGAACCGGTGGGTTTTTTTTCATCTGAAAGGGGATTGAGACAGGGTGATCCTATCACCCCTTTCCTATTCATACTGGTCATGGAGGGGCTGAATAGCATGCTGAGGATAGCTACTCAAAACAGATGGATAAGGGGATTTGAAGTTAGTAGCAGGGCAAGTGTGAGTATGGAGATTTGCCAACTGTTGTATGATGATGACACTGTAATCTTCTGCGAGGCAAAAGAAGACCAGATTAGATATATCAGAGTGATACTTGTGATCCTGGAAGCTGTCTCTGGTCTAAGGGTTAACTGGAGGAAAAACAGTTTACTCCCTATCAAGGAAGTAGCACAAATGCAAAGATTGGCTAACATCCTAGGGTGCAAGATTGAGCAATTCCCAACAACTTACTTGGGAATGCCTCTGGGAAGCAATCATAAAGAACTACTGATATGGGATGGGATAATCCAGAGGTCAGAGAAGAAGTTAGCCATATGGAAATCTCAATACTTGTCACTTGGGGGCCGACAAACATTAATAAATGCAGTGCTGGACTCCCTCCCCACTTATGTCAGGTCTCTATTTCCCTTACATGCTAAGGTGCTGGAGAAATTGGACAAACTTAGAAGAGACTTTCTTTGGTTTGGAAACAAAGAAAGGAAGGGGTACTATCTAGTTAACTGGAAACAGTGCAGCTACCTAAGCTCTCAGGTGGTCTTGGAGTTAGGAATCTTCGAATCCATAATGAGTGCCTCTTGATGAAATGGCTGTAGAGATATGTGGAAGAAGAACATGCTCTTTGGAGAGAAGTTATACATCACAAGTATGGCCAGGACTCCCAATGGTGTACCAATGAGGTCACTATACCATATGGAGTTTCAACATGGAAAACAATAAGATCCTTCTGGACCAAACTAGTAGAAAACATCAAACTCAGAATAGGAAAGGGAGCTAAACTACTATTCTGGAAAGATGTTTGGGTAAGACATGAGGCATTAATGCAGTCGTTCCCTGACTTATTTTCTTTTTGTAGCAATATCCAGATATCACTCTAGCTGAGAGTTGGGAAAATGGTTGGGATATATCTTTCAGGAGACATTTCAATGACTGGGAAATAGATAGGGTGGCACAATTGTTACATGTAATCAATGAGTTTAATGGTTTTTCTGCAAGGCCAGACACAATCTCGTGGGAACACTCTGAGGATGGAAGATTCACAGTTAACAAGCTCTATAAGAAGGAAATGGGAACTCAACAAGGCCTCAGATTGGCTAGATGGAAATATATATGGACAAGCCAAGCACCAACCAAGATCAAATGTTTTGTATGGTTGGTAGCTAAGAGGGCTTGTCTGACACAAGAGGTACTGCAGAGGAAAGGTGTACAACTAGTACCAAGGTGTTTTCTATGCAATGAGACAAATGAGACCAACAACCATCTTTTTCTACACTGTAGAGTCACAGGTCAACTATGGTCTCTGTTTTTGAGGCTCACTGGTAACAGCTGGACGATGCCAGAACATACTGCTGACCTGTTGAGTTGCTGGATCAGGAGAGGAGGCAGTAAAAGCCAAAAAAAGTGGTGGAGAATTATTCCAGCTTGCATATGGTGGTCAGTATGGAAGGAAAGAAATGGAAGATGCTATGAGAACACAACTTACTTGGGAATGCCTCTGGGAAGCAATCATAAAGAACTACTGATATGGGATGGGATAATCCAGAGGAAAAAAAAAAAGTTAGCCATATGGAAATCTCAATACTTGTCACTTGGAGGCCGACAAACATTAACAAATGCAGTGCTGGACTCCCTCCCCATTTATGTCATGTCTCTATTTCCCTAACCTGCTAAGGTGCTGGAGAAATTGGACAAACTTAGAAGAGACTTTCTTTGGTTTGGAAACAAAGAAAGAAAGGGGTACTATCTAGTTAACTGGGAAACAGTGCAGCTACCTAAGCTCTCAGGTGGTCTTGGAGTTAGGAATCTTCGAATCCATAATGAGTGCCTCTTGATGAAATGGCTGTGGAGATATGTGGAAGAAGAACATGCTCTTTGGAGAGAAGTTATACATCACAAGTATGGCCAGGACTCCCAATGGTGTACCAATGAGGTCACTATACCATATGGAGTTTCAACATGGAAAACAATAAGATCCTTCTGGACCAAACTAGCAGGAAACATCAAACTCAGAATAGGAAATGGAGCTAAAATACTATTCTGGAAAGATGTTTGGGTAAGACATGAGGCATTAATGCAATCTTTCCCTGACTTATTTTCTTTCTGTAGCAATCCAAATATCACTCTAGCTGAGAGTTGGGAAAATGGTTGGGATATATCTTTCAGGACTGGGAAATAGATAGGGTGGCACAATTGTTACATGTAGTCAATGAGTTTAATGGTTTTGCTGCAAGGCCAGACACAATCTCATGGGTACACTCTGAGGATGGAAGATTCACAGTTAACAAGCTCTATAAGAAGGAAATGGGAACTCAACAAGGCCTCAGATTGGCTAGATGGAAATATGTTTGGACAAGCCAAGCACCAACCAAGATCAAATGTTTTGTATGGTTGGTAGCTAAGAGGGCTTGTCTGACTCAGGAGGTACTGCAGAGGAAAGGTGTACAACTAGTATCAAGGTGTTTTCAATGCAATGAGACAAATGAGACCAACAACCATCTTTTTCTACACCGTAGAGTCACAGGTCAACTATGGTCTCTGTTTTTGAGGCTCACTGGAAACAGCTGGACGATGCCAGAACATACTGCTGACCTGTTCAGTTGCTGAATCAGGAGAGGAGGCAGTAAAAGCCAAAAAAAGTGGTGGAGAATTATTCCAGCTTGCATATGGTGGTCAGTATGGAAGGAAAGAAATGGAAGATGCTATGAGAACAAATCAAACTCCATACAGAAAGTCAAAGAAAATTGCATTGCATATTTGTATTTTTGGTGTAAACAGGAATGTATAGAGGAGGTAGAGCAACTAGTAGATATGTTAGGATCTTTGTAATTAGCCTTCCTAGCCCCTCTATGTACGAATTTTTGGAGGTCACCGGCATATCCTTAATGCTGAGGAATACAACATTACTAAATTCAAAAAAAAATAAAAAAATTCATTGAGCATGTGATTCTTGAACTATTTTTCCTTTCAGACATAAATCTGGTGGTGTTGAAATCTCACATACCAGCACCCACGGCAGCTCACATAATCCCCTAACAGCAGCAAGTTCCCACCACAACTCCTTCCTTTCAGTCTTAGTGTTTGGTGCATAAACACCAGTTAGATGGCAAGAAAACTTTTGTGAGGTAGCTTGAAATTTGACGGTGATGCTAAGACTTCAGTAGCTACTACTATCCCTGCCGATATCTATTATTCCACATCATAAGAATACCCCCTCCCCTCCTACACCCGCTTCTAAGCACCAAATTCTACCCATTTGTTATCCAAAATCTACCGCACCAACGATCCAACCTCTCTTTATCCACCTTTGTTTATTGAGAGTAATAAACAAATGCTTTCCATTTATTTACTAACATTTTAGCTGTTCTTCTTTGTTCCTTACTGTTCAATCCCCCTATATTCCAACTGATAACGTTTAGCTTCATGTAGAAGTTAGAATGTTTCTTCCCCTACTTCTTATCCCCACCTTCCCATAGTTCATATCAAATTTTAGCTTGTTTAACTCATTGTTCTTCCTTGGTTTGCTGCTTCCCTGAATGCCCTAATGAATTCTTTGTTCCTGCCTTTTCTTATCAATCTTCATGAGTAGTTTAAACACATCATGTTCACGGGCCTAGAATGTGATACCATACTGCCTGCTCAGGCCTCAGAGAGAGTACATTTTTATGAACCCACAAAGAAGCCTCCATTACTGCTTGCTCTCTTTGAAGCTCTTCTAAATCTTCCATAAAATAATTCCCATGTAAAAATCTGCTCAAAATCCTATCCTAGAATTGGTTCTTCCTCTGTAACTGGAATTTTGTTTCCTTGATTCATTGGACATATGGTTGTAATTGCATCCTTTTCACGAGCTAGGGAATAAATTAGTCGATTATCTCCTTGCACCTCCAAAAGCACTAACTCATCTTCATTGACCTTGTTGTTTGTTGCGTCTTCGATGGCAACAGGGTCTAAATCCATAAGTGCTTTAGTAATATCTTCTGAAATGACTTCAGTGTTATTGCCCTAAATGATTGAATTTAAGTCCATATTACTGGAATCAAGTCAGGCCTCCTCTTTGTTCTTACTTAATTTTCTCACTTTCTCTTTTCAACTTCCTAAACCTTATTTGCACCAAAAGCCATTCTCTTTCACACCAAGATACTTTTAGCTTCTTAAGATAAAAGGGTCAGAGTTAATTACAGCTAAATCACCCTACGGATAAACTCATGAAGAAATCCACCAGTCAAGAAAAGTTTATTCAACAATCTAACATGAAGCATCTAATAAATGCACAGTACAAACATAAAAGGATAAAAATGAATGTTTAATCTTAATATAAGGGTTGAGCGACTTCAATGACTTGAAAGCTACATAAACTAAAATCAACATTCAGAATCAATACTGCAGCTCTATTTACCTGGATATTCAGCAGGTGAGAAAGAAGTAGACGAAGAAGAAGAGGCAGAGGGTACAATCTGTAGAGATCTGAAGATGGGTTTTTCCCAGACAGAAGGAAGGTTTAATAACTTCCTCCTGGTTTGTAATTGCAATTGAGGAGAGACGAGACAAGCAGGCAACAGATGAAGTACACAAGTATTCATGTCTTAATTCACTTTTCCTTCTCCGATAGACACCCCGGCAAGTCACTATGCCGATTCAGTTGCTTTTCTGGAATTCAGAGCTCCTGCTGCCCACTGCACTGCCTAATTGACACCACTTCTGGTGCAGTTGGATTATAGTTGTGTTCTATGATTTTTTTAGTATTTTATAGCATTTTTTATTGTGTATTTTTTAATATATTGTTTTGGTTTTTTTGTTTTTTTTTATGATTTTTAGGAATTTTCAGATATAAGTATCAAAACACATCTAAACTATCTCATTTTTTCAAGTTTTATATCTAAACTATTGAGAGTGTGAATTTCATACCTTAACTATTATTTATTAGTTTGAAAAACACATTTTAGTGGTGTATGTTATTATTTGAAAAAACATTGACATGTGGCATTCTACATAGATAAAATATTTCACCTTGATAAAAATTAAATAATAAACTATTAATATTAATTAAAAATTAAAGATTAAAGTATTATTATCCCCAAAAAAAATATTTTTCTTACCCCACTCCACTACCTCCTCCCCGTACCCCTCCCCGGACTATCCCCCATCCTTTTATTTTTTAAAATTTCTTTTATAAAATATTTTATTTTTAGAAAGTCTTGCGACGACAAGTAAGAAATATTTTCCTAAAAAGATATGTATATATCTAACACAAAACGAAAAATAATTTAGAAGCGAGGGTTAGATGGAATGGGTAGAAAAATAAAAAGATATCCAAACTAGTATTTAAAAGGGGTGGGAGAGATGAAGTGATAGAGTAGGGTAAAAAAATAATATTTTACTTTTAATTTTATAAAAAATATATTTATTTTGAATAATAATTTTTTAATCTTTAATTTTAACTAATACTAATAAATTATTTAATTTTTGTCAAGGTGAAATGTTTTATTCATATGGACTATGGAGTGTGATGTGATAATTTTTTTAAAATAAAAGAGAAAGTGTATTACACACATAAAAGTGTTATAAAAGAGAGATGTGTGTTTCTCAAATTAATAAATGATAATTTAAATACGAAATTCACACTCTCGATAGTTTAGGTATGAAACTCAAAAAATGGATTAGTTTAGATGTATTTTTAACACTTCAATATAAATAATGATAAAGTTTTAAAGTAGTTACCCATAGAGTGGAATGAAGTTTAAATATATAAGTTTTGAGACTAGTGTCATTCCTCGACAATCCCCTGTCCTTTTTTTTTAAAAAAAATCTTTATATAAAATAGTTTTAAAAAAATTCATACTTCACCCTCCCCCCCTAAATCACCCACTCATTCTCCAAAAAAATTGATACTATTTTATTTTTAAAAATAAAAGTTCTACCCCATCCTATTTAACCCTCCGCTCCCAATTTATTTAATTTTTTTTATATTTTTCTAGTTTTGTGTTAGATATGTACATATATATTTAAGAAAAAAATTTCTACTTGTGTACCGAATATAACATAAATAACAAATTTATTTTTAAAAAAGTCTTGCGGTGGCAAGTAAAAAATATTTTCGATATGTATATATCTAACA